TGCTTGGGCCAGTGCCCATCGAGGCCCAGGTTTGCTGTCCCCTGGAGGGGGTGCCCTTGCACTGCCAACCTCACTGCAGCTGAGCCGGCAGGGCCTGCCTGGGAAGGCTTCTGGACTTCTCTGTGCCTGGCAGGCCCCTCCGCACACTGGCCGCGGTGTCCTGCCCCCTTACCCAGATCTGGACAGCGCAGGTCAGCCAGCTGGGCCCTGCCCGTCCTGTATGCCCCACAGTGCCCCCAGCTCTGGGGTAGCTCCGGGCCTGTCCGCAGTGCCTCAGGGAGATGCTGGCCGGAAGTCCGGGGCTGCTCCTGTCCTCGGTATACGGGCCCCTCGGACCCACGTTCTCGGGCCCGGGTGCCCTTTGTGGCATGGCCGGCCTTCTCACGCCCACCCTGGTGCTCGCCCGCAGAGACACTACACACAGTACCACGGTTTTGTGGTCATCCACGGCACCGACACCATGGCCTTCGCCGCCTCGGTGCTGTCCTTCGTGCTGGAGAACCTGCAGAAGCCCGTCATCCTCACCGGGGCCCAGGTAACCTGCGGCGAGGCTCCCGGCAGCCCCTGGGCAGGCGGTGGGCCAGGGTTCGTGAACTGTAAGCCTGCTGGCACGAGACTGTCCTCCTAACAGGCCTCCCGTCTGACCACCTGGCTTGGCACGGAGCAGGTGTCCCAAGGCCCTGGCCACTTCCCTGCCTTTGTCCCTGTCTTCATTCTCTCTGCTGTGGTCCCCGTGATGCAACCCTCAGGGGCCCTGGTTCCTACACTCCTCTCTTCTCTCTAACCCAGCACACCCCCAGTGCCAGAGCCGGTGATGTGCTGGGGGGTGGCTGGGGAGGTCCCGACCCCCACCTGGGGTCCCTGTTGCCTGTGGCTTCACAAGAGCAATTCAAGAGCCGGTCCTGTCTGCGCCCCACGGTGGGGACCAAGGCCTTTGTGTTCCAGCTGGTCCCTGAAGGATGCTCCGGGAAGTTCTGGGGGAAACCCCTGCCAGACCTGCTGGGTCCATCCCTGACTGTGGGGCCTGCCCAGTCTCTCTGGTGTCCCGTGGGTCCCACAGTGGGACAGTCCCACTCGGAGGAGGCCCCAGGCTGCTATGCACTGGGTAGCTGCCGGGCTTCTGCTCGGGAGGGGTTGCAGTCCGTGTTTCCCCAAGGCCTCTCTCCCGCAGGCCGCACCCTGGTCTCACGGTCCCGCGAGATGGACGGGGCTCGACTGGCTCTCCTCCCCTCTGACCCTCCCAGGCCCTGTGGCAGGACCACGCCTCTCCCAGGGCAGGCCGTGCTGTGCTGTCTGCGGGCTCGGGACCACGCATGCATGCTCTAGCCCTCGCACCGGCCTGCTATAACCAAGGGGAAGCTGAAGCCCAGTGACGGGCTTGCCCACGGCCATGTCCGCTTTAGAGGCAGGGCCCAAGGGAGCCGGGACCGCTGTCTGTGGGCTGTGCTGCACCTGCGCCGACCGAGACCCTGGCCTCTGCGTAGCCCCCCTGGCAGGAGCAGTGGACAGGGCATGCCTGAGAAGTGCCATCCCAATGCCCCACCGCCTGTCACCCTCAGCCCTCCCCCCAAGTCCTGCTGGGGAAGGGACAGCGTGCAGGGCCCTTGGGGCAGGGGCTGTGCTGGCCCCAGATGGGCGAGGGCAGCAGTGTGTGGGCAAGCTCTGGGGCAGGCTGGCAGGAGCAGCAGGGGCAGCTGTGGTGGTCAGCCTTGCCCGTCCTCTGAGCAGCCCCTTCCCTGCAGCCGCCTGGCTCCCAGGCTGCCCCCTCAGCCCACACCGGCCTGCCCTCTCTTCTCTCCCCCACTCTGCTGGGGCTCCTTCCTGGGCGAGGGTTTCCCAGAGAGCAGGCTGAGCCCCTGAGAGCGCCCCCCCCCCCGTGGCTCCCC